ACAATGTGGAAGATTATTTCATAATGAAGCCCCACCCCCAAATGATGTCAATGAAGGTGTGAATTTTGCCGACAATGAAGGAATCGACCAAATTAGCCCAACTTCTTCTTTGCCAAGGCCCTCGGGTAGAGATAAGCAAAAGGAAGCAAAGAGAAAAGGGAAGTCCCAAGATCCGATACATGCACAATTTGTTAACGAAATGGCAAGAATGAACGAAAACCAGTGTCGTCGGCAAGAAGAATCGGCCCAAAGGTTTTTGGCCATGAAGCAAGAAGGGGATAGGGAGCAAGAAAGGTACGAAACTAATTTGATAATGGAGGACCTCGATAAATACACTCCAGAGAGGAAGAGATACTTACGTGGTAAGCAAAAAGAAATTTTACGAAGGAATGCCACAAGAAGTATATTTCAAGATGATGATTCATCTCAAGACTATCACCCAAGTCCACCACCAAGTCAAGATGATGGATATCATTATTAGGTTTATGTAGTCTATGAGTTTTCGACTGTATTAAGTTTATGTGGTTTATTAATTGTCTTTTTTTTTTTAAGTTTATGTGGTTTATCATGATTTTCATGTATTGATTTAGTGATTTTTCAAAATTTATCGGAATTTAAATATTTTTAGGTTAAAATGTTCATAAAATTAATTTAGGATAGTCTACATAATTTTTTTTTTTAAAAGTTAATTTAAAAAAAATAGCCTTAATTCATTTTTTGATAATCTGGGGCTCAAATTTTAGGCCAAAAGGGTTGGAGTAGAAAAGCTGTTTCTGGGCTAAAACCTAAATTTTCTGGGCTAAATATTTTTAGGTTTTAGGTCAGGGTTGGAGATGGTCTTAGGAATAAAAGAAATAGGTCCAAATCCTAAGCTTAGGCCCCACAACCCCACAAAACGTTCGAGGATACTTTAGTCCTTTCATGCCATAAAAAAAATTCAGGACAGACTGTATGTCGATCAATTTGTAACATTGGAAAGCTGATTTATTTTACTTGTATTAGAAACGTTGATTTGTTTTAGTGTGAACAAATGATGATAGGATAACTAATACTGTAACCTATTATAAATTGATTTTTATTGAATGCTATCATCCAAGTTGACCCTATATAATATGACATAGGGTTGGTAAGAGTAATTTATGTGACGTAATGCAATAAATTGGGTTGGCAGGAGTGATTAATATTAACTAGTATATGCCCGAATTTTTTGTGTGTGTAAAATTTTTTATTTTTGTTTTTAAAATTGAATGAGAGATGAAGATCGTGAGAGAGAACTTGGGAGTGAGAAGAGCATGAGAGAGATTTTATTTTATTTTATTTAAATTAGAGATGTTAAACTCACATGTAGGTGAGGTTTAAACAAAAAACAACAAAATTTTATTTCGTAAAATTATGTTTCTGTCCTTAATTTTTTTTGTTGTAATAGAAGACTAAATAATCTTTTCACTCTCTTTTGGTTGACAAAGAGAATTATATTAATATCTAAGATACCGTTTGGTACGTGGGACGGGACGACACGAAGTGAGACGAGGCGTTTCGTCCCACGTTCGGTGCGCCTAAAACGGGTGGAACGCACTGTTCCACGGGACGAATTTTTGGTGAATTTTCGTTCCGCATCACCTCGTGGAACGACTCGTTCCACATCCATGGAATACAAAATTATAACCTCTCCATCTCCTTTTTCTTCCTCTTTGTTTCCATCCGAATGCATCTTTGCTCCCTCTCTGTTTCGTCCGTCCTATCCCGTCCCGTCCCGTCTGCATACCAAACGATACATAAACTACCTATTATCTAAACTCTCTTTGTCAAATAAAGAAGAGTGAAAAGACTATTTAGTCTTTTATCACAAAAAAAGAGAGCAATAATGTCATTTCACTTGTCCAAAGTTTATTGTTTTTTATCCTCCCACCCAAGTTCTCTCTCTCCCTCTCCTTCCCATTTTAAAAAACATATATAACAAGTGAGAAAAACTAACGAAAAATCCAAAAAAACTTTAATTTTAATGAAAAAAGACAAATAAAGGTGTAGTGAATAATACCAGAGAAAGGTAAAAATGTGATTTTTTGTTAAAAGTGAACAATACCGGAAGTGTTTTGTTAAAACTCCCTAAAAAGTGTGTAAGCATATGCTATCTAAAGTACATATTAATAGAATCATATTTGTCAACCAAAACTCTAGAAAATTACTATTCTAACTGTCACAGCCCGTCCCGAAATAAATTATCGATGACGTGAATTGACTATTTTACCCTTGGATGTGAGCATTGTGGTGTATTATGCATGTAAATAGTGGTCCAAACTTGCATTTTCCCTAATTTTTGGGAACAAATTGGAAATTAGTTTTTGTGGTTTTGGTTGGTGACCCACGTGGACTACTCACACACACACAAACCCTTCCTCTCTCTTCTCTCCCGTGCTCGCTTTTCCTCGGACTCTGTAATATCCCAAAAAATTTAAGTGGGGATTAAGAGTGAATCACTTGTGGTCTTTGTTAGCAAAAATTGATTTGCCTTATTTGAGGTTAGATCAATTGGCCTTTGGCCATTAAAAGTTCTAAAAAATAAAAAATAAAAAAATAAATAAGAGGGTAAAGTTGACGCTTAGGATATAAAAAAAAGAGGATGGGTTCTAGAAATCCCCATTTAGCTGTTTTCCCTTCCTGCTTTCCCTCCAGCCGAAAGTAATGAAGGGGGTTTACCCCTTTTAGCTTTTCACTTGTCAAAAAGAAAATCTAAGGAAGAAGGAGTTTAGTTTTCTTTGCTTGTGAAGATTAGAACAAGTGAGTTATGTGAAGCAATTTGAATTGAGATATTTACATATATATTTATACATATGTTTATATTCTATTTCTGGGAAGATTATACACGTTTTACGGCGAGATGTTATAACTTTTGAGAAATGAAATGGTTTTGTAAAACATTTGTTTTTGCCCACTCACATTTTCTGTTTTGCACCCCTCCAGGTTTTTGGTAAGCTTGTTGTTGGTGGCGTACGAGGATTTCGGCAGTTCTGACATATTAAAATAATTGTAGGACATCTTATGATACTGTATAATTAGTACTTGTCCTACTGAACTGCACCTAGACTTTCTATGCTCTGATTAGGAGTATTTACTTTTGTATCTCACTCCTAACACTTCCTGTTTATTAGTGCACTTTAGTAGCTTTTTATTTTTATTTATTCGTATATTTCTTATCCTTACTGCTTCCGCACTGTGCACATGACTACGTTACCCTCACGTGACTGCTAGCATGCCTCGATCTCGGTCGGGCTGTGTCACTAACCCACTCACCAAAACTAAAAAAAATTAAAAAAAAAACATGGGCAATATGGTAATTACATGTAACACCAATTGTTTATTTTTTTTACACAAACCTCACAGTTAGGTAAACATAACAAACTCTATTTAAAAATTAAAAATTTAATAAAAATATTGAGAAGGATTTTTTCTACACTTTTCTCACTTTGATATTATCGTTTGTTCAACCAAAAAAAAAAGTTCTCACGCCCAATTTTATTTTCTTTATTTTCAAGGTTTTTTTTTTTTTTAAACGTTTCTCACTTCGATATTATCGTTTGTTCAACAAAAATTTCACAAGCCCAATTTTATTTTCTTTATTTTCAATGTATTTTTTTTTAAAGTGATATAAATATTTTTGTAACAAATAAAGGGCTCGGTTTTATCACCACAGGATATCCAAATTCAAGCACATACTTGGTTGATGGAATTTAAGAAGTGGAATGCGGTGCAACCGAAGACTAAGCTTGCCGAGGTACAGAAATGGAGGAAGCCGGAGTAAGGGTGGATTAAGTGCAATTTTGATGGGGCATGGGATGAGCAGAACAAAAGGGGAGGAGTAGGAATAATTATCAGAGATGCGACTAGGGAATTTATTGCTGCCATGGCGTTAAAACTGGAGGGGATTGCTTCGACTTTAATGGCTGAAATTGCAGCGGCTCGTGAGGTTGCACTGCTTCTTCAGCGATGGAATAGTCAGAAAGTGATATTGGAGGGTGATGCTTTGATGATGCTTTGATGGTGATTGTTGTTGTTCAGAATAACTTGGATGTTAATGATGGACCTTTTGGCCATATATTAACTGATATACAGAGGCTGTTACAACCTGTTCAGCAGTGGAAGGCCAATTTTGTGCGACGTGATGCCAATGCAGTGGCTCACAGGTTAGCTCGGCGTGGTCTCACTTTGGCACTGCCAGTTTCTTGGTTTGAGGAACCTCGATGTAATTTCTGATCTTATTTTGGAGGATGGTTTCAATTCTAAATTTAGTTTGCTGCGGGACACTCTTTCTCCCTTCATTCGGGTTGTTCCCCGGGAAAAATTTTATTGGGGCCCATTGTTAGCATCATTTCCCTTTGATTGTACGTTGTTTCCTTATGAAACGAATATCGTACTTGATTTAAAATAAATAAATAAAAGTGACATAATATTTTTGTAACAAATAATACTCAAATTAAATTCACACCTATAATGTGTGGGCATACGACTAAAGTGCAATTCACCGGCAAACGGCATACGAAGCAATTAGAAATTTAGAATGACAAAAAGAGAGACCAGACCACAAAAGTTAAGGTCAATAACGTTGCTATAAATTTTGATTGCACACACACACAGTCGTAAATTTCCTTGGTTTTTGGTGGTTAGGCCGTCATGCATATACAACGGTCACCTCTGGTCTCATAGCTGTCGCGAGGCATACAACTAAATTTCGTTTCATGTAGTTATATTACTGTTTTTAAATTTTTTATGGTATAGAAGACTAAATAGTTTTTCAGTCTCTTTTGATTGACAATTGACAAAGAGGGTGTTATTAATATGTAATTTAGATTATATTAATTATATTTGAGCACATTTTATTAGCGCAGTTTCGATCCACACTAATATTTCTCTCTGTAACAACTAACAAGTTAATCCATTAACAGTGTCATTTGGGGAAAAATGTGCTAATTAACTAAGATTGGATAAAATATTGCAATCACAGCTCCACACCGAAAGTATTTTCCATTGTTCCAATTAATTTATTAAATATTCAGAAATACAAACATTTCATCGTTCTGAACAGAAAGCAGAAACATATACATGACCTGCAGATGATTAATTCTGTGCAGAAACTAATGCTTGCAAAGGCTGCAAACCTTTACTTATTCCAAATGGAATTAAATCGTCTATATATTTGGCAACACAAAAACTTCACAAACAATATTCAGTCCAGTCAACTGAAGCGACTGATGATGATCAGCCGGTCTAAAACACACCAAGAGAAGTAGGGTAGAGCGGCGCCGGCTTATAAGCGAAACAATTCGGAACAAATGTGGACGTCCGCCTTTTCGGGGGATCCACGGAGGACGCCACGGCGGGGTTGGTTCAAGTATGCGTACTTGCTTTTCGTCCACCTGCACAGATATTTGTTAAAAATATATATATGTTCAAGAAAAAATTGATAACTTCTTCTTGATTGATTGAGAAAATTAGCTCACCAGTCCTTGATTCCAACACGAATTTCGTTGTTACTGTCATTAGTAGCAGAAGATCTGTCGTTCTCATTTTTGTCATCGTCGTTCAAGGACTCCTCGAAACGTCTGTAATCTTCCTCCTGTATACCATACGCCTTCAACTAGTTAAGAAAATGTAAGCAAATAAAAATGGCTACTAACTGCTCTTTTGCACATGTTTCTGATCATGTCTCAGCTCGATAGTGCGTGACACGTGATGATTGATAGAATCTTACCGAGAGCTTGCGGGCTCGAATACGTGCTGCAGCCTTGATAGCGGCAAGGAGATGCTCCTCTTCCTCAATACGCTTCCGATACCAGAACCTCGCGATTTCTCGCTTTGTCACGCTCTCCGTAACAGCCTTATTAGCCCAGAACCTTGGAAGTGGAGGCGGTGGGGGTGGCGGCAGCAGTGAACTCCCCTGCTCTATTTGCTTCATCTTCATCAATTCTTTTCGACAAATCGAATCGATGAATTTATTTTGTCGAAGTTCTAACAGTACAAGATTAAGATTGGAATGTGGTGGAAGAAATAAAATAATTGCTAGTCTTGGACATGGACTTTCAAGTACCAACCCTCTAGAGGTAGCTACTACTCCAACCTAACTTTCAAATGTGACCGATGGATTTGGTTCTCCCGGCACATTTCCCAGTCAGGCTTTATAATACAAAGGAAAATTGACTGGTAGTTGCAACCTGAAATTTCCCGGTAAGAGTTGAGAACTTGGGATTGCAGCAACTTTCAACAAGAAATATTTGGCAGATAGTACATGGAACTGAGGCATCTAACGAAGAAAAAAATTTGTGTGATGGTGACATCCTTTATCGGTGTTATTATCTTAATAAGGTGGACAGAGTCAACATTTTATGAATTTAGTAACACCATACCATGGTGGGAACACCATATGTCTCATGAATTTAGTAACACTATACTAGAGATCATGGTGGGAACACCACATATCTAAACGCGTTTTATTAACTTTGTTCCCAGCTGCTGGCCCCTCCCTTGGTTGGGGTCGGTGGCAACCCTTAAATTTACTTTTCCAGCAACTTTCAACTATCCTTACTTTTCTTGCTTTGCTTTTGATCGTTGTATCTGGTGATTTTGTTATCTGAGCTCAGTCTCTGTTTCTTTGGCTCTGTGTCAAGTTTCCTGGGCTTGTTATCAACTTATGGCGATTCTCATCTCATATCCGGGATTCATGCTTTCTTCCACTCCAATGGTTGTTCTGCTGGTCTTTTCCTGTATTTTATTTGGTTGTACTTTTGCTTACTTGGTTGTTTTGGTTTGTTTACAGACTTTTGTAACCTTGCATTAGCCTTTATTTAATGAATTTCACTTCAAGATAAATAAAAATAAGAGAATCTTAACCAAACACTAAAGTAACACCGTACCGCAAGAAATGATATTGTCACACTGAAAACTGCCGTTCAACTAGTCTCCAAAGTCATAATTTAAAATTTAGCAGCCGTAGCAAAAGCCAACCATCTAAAAACCTCCAGTAGCTAACAGGTCTTCATATGTATTTTAAGATTTTTTAATGTTGTACTTGTCAACATGTGATCAATAGCAACGGTAGTCAATATCGGAAAGGGATCTTGATAGCGATTTTACTACTTATGTGAACGAGCTAAAAACTCCTATTATACTTGTAAGAAACACAAGGTTGTTGTAGTATAAACGAATCTCGCAAGGTTGTTCTCCACAAGGATTATTAAATAATTCGAAACTAACCAAATTTCAATTAATTATTGTAAAATAGAAATTGAGGTGATTGATTTTATAACCTACTTAAATTAAAAACGAAATTAATTAATTAAAATAAACAATCTACAATATTAGAACAGGGGAAAAAGAAAACAGTTTTGGAAGAATCAAATTAAGAAAGCACTATGGTTCCACCATCACCTAGCAATCCTATGAACTTTTACCAATTACTTATGATCTACACATGCCACTTTGAAGGTTAGATTTTCCTAATTCATATTCTACTTGGAACCTCCAACATAGAACGTATATCTAACATGAAACCCGTCCGGACGTTCGGATCAAATTTGAACATGAAAGACTCATTATGCTTTATAAAAATCATTTGAAAAATCATGCAACCCTTAAGACGTGGTGCTCATCCTAAGTGAAATTACAATTATTAATCACAAGAAGCCAGCGTCAATTTTATGGAACCTTCCGACCAAAATTGCATCAAATTACTTTTCTAAAGATCTTAATGGTGATCAGGCATTAAGACAATTAGATAGTTTTTATCCTAGTGATTAACAATTCAAAGTATGTATTCAATCAATCATAAACAATTAAATAAAAATCACATATTCATGCTAAAGCTCAAGGTTTCGCTCTAACAAAAGGAATTAGTTACGCATATTCATAATTGAAATCATAGAAAATATTATTAAAGAAAAAGATTGAAAGCACCTTCAAGTAAAAAGTCTCCAAAACCCTAACAATTCTCTTTGTCTCCAAAATTGCATAAAAGAAAGCGTAGAGAAAAACTGTAGACGGCCAAGCAATATATCTGCTAAGCCCCCACACAAACCCTAAAAACAGGTCCTTTATTCCACTTAGGAAACTAAAATTAATAATAAAATAAAATAGGAAACATAACCCTAAATTAAATAATAAAATTCGCCTTAAATCTGAACAGCCACATTTTGGACCTATAAGCTGCTCCAAACTTGGCCCAATATAGCTGGATTTAATATTTGGAATATTCTGAACACTTTTCCAGAAGGCCACGAACCCTAAACCCATCCGAGATCATCTTGGGCTCCAAAAATGCAATTTAAGCCCAAAAACGTCATTTTCCAGTACTGCGCATCACTCCTTTATTTTATTGCCAGAAAATAACCGCTTGGTGGAAAAATCCCAGATTTTGATATGATCAAGCTAAGTGACTCACGAACGTCCTCCAACTAGAATTACTCCAAAATTCGTCCATTTGATTCTGTTTTGCTCCAGAGGAAGTCGAAAGTCCTATATTGGAAATACAATTTAAAGTATCAAAATTCTTCCACAATATTAACCAAAATATACTAAAATTAGGGTAAAATATATAATATAAAATCTACTCATCAGATCTTATCTGGATCCCTTCCACCAAATTCATCAATTCAGACTCTTAAAATTTAATCCAACGGTTAAAAATAAGGGTTTGCTTTAAAAGTTATAATAACTTTAACTGTTGGATTAAATTTCAAAGGTTCGGATTGATGGATTTGATGGAAGAGATCCGGAGATAATCACTTTCCATCAATATCAATGATATACTTTTTTTTCTATTAAAAGGGACCGGTCAGTGCAGCAGTCCATCCTTCCAAATGCCGGAAAGATTCACAGAGACGTGGTAGCATTCATCTCGTCACCATTGTGTATTTCACCAGTTAATATTGTCAGTTTATATATCGTTTATATATTGTTAATATATCATCGCACGTGCATTTGATTGCAAATTTTTATTTATCAGTGCATTTAACCGCAACATAGAAATAATGATATGATTCATCTATTCCTAGTGATCTCTTTAGTAGTTGGATTTATGTTCTTCAAACATGAAGAGAAAATCTGCTCCCTGCCCAAAAGCAGCCATATAAATTAGCATCAATTCCTAAACAAAAACTCCAGAGCTCGGACAGAAACAGCAACAGAGGACTTTTTTCCAAATTTCCCAGAAAACCCACCTCAATTTTCACTTATTTAATCACAAATTCGATACAATCTTCAATCACAACAAAATGTATAGGATCAAGAAATTATAGTCACAACCCATATCATTATTTAGTATACAGTAAAATACAAAATTTCAGAAACAATCGCTACAATTCCACCTAAGTGCCAGACGAAACGCGAAGGGCTTTCGTTTTGAATCGATACCGGGCAGCTCGAGGGACCACCTGGCTGGGTCCCATGTGAAACTGACCGGGACTGTCAATCATGAGCGGCCCATCGCCGTACACGTATCCGACGAGCCGTCCGCAACAGTTAAAAGATTTTTGGATGGCGTATTCCTATACAAATTATGAGATATATGTATTAAAAAATTAATAACTTAAATATTAAAAATCTCATCATTTTTATAAAAATGTATGGTGTACGGTTTCAATAAAAAATTTCTGGCAGCCATTGCACTTGATCTTCGTCCTCGTCCATTGGATCCCCCAGTAGTTTCTAGTCTCGAAGAACGGTCTGATCTTGTCCTCCTTGTCGAACCGGAACTTGGTTGCGTCGACCGCCGCAAACGACACCGTTCCCTTGTTTCCGGCCTCGAAGAAGAAGTCCGGCGGATAGAGATTCGCAGCGGTAAGGTTCAGGTTGGCTCGGCACTCCGTGCAGGTGTAGATTGTCGAATCGGAAGAGGCCATTGCTGGTGGTTTTGGATGTCCATGATGGAGGATTCTATGGCTGGTTGATTCAAGCATGCATACTTAGCTTAAATTTCTCCTGGTCCACCTGCAAAAATGTTTGTTTGAGAACTTCAAGTAGGGTGCTTAGTGAACTTGCTAAGCATTTGATTGATTGAGAAAATGAACCAACCAGACCTTGATTCCGATGCGAACTTTGTTGTCATCCATGTTCTCGTTGCTGTTATTAGGGACTGCGGGGGCGCTGTCCTTGCCGTCTTTGTCATCGTCGTTCAGGGACTCGTCGAAAGGTATGTATAGTCGTCCTCCTATACACCATACACATTCAACAAGTTAAGCAGATGCAAGAAGTTAAATGCTTTTGACTACCAATAACTCATGCCAATCCACATCCCATCCCTACAGACAAGACAAGCAATAGTTGCATGTTTGGAAATGCTTATGGCATGGCTTAATGCGCTTTTGAGATGCATGTTTGGAAATGCTTATGGCATGGCTTAATGCGCTTTTGAGAGATTCAAAAGCTTTACGTCAAAAAAAGAAAAAAAAAGAGAGATTCAAAAGCTATTTTGACAGTATATTTGGAAGAAACAAGTTAAATATGCTTCTAAATTTTAAGAACAACAAAAGATTTGCGAAAAATCAAAGTGCCTTTTAACTTTCAAGGGCTAGTTTGGGGTTTTAATCATGAAAAAAAACACATAACGTGATACAATAAATGTGTTTAAATTTATTAGAACTAAAGTGTTTCATAGAAAACGGCTGAAATTACTTCTTAAATAAACATTTGGTATATGTATCCATAAGAAGCACTTCTATGATTATTAGAATACTTTAAGTTTTTTGCCAAACACACTTATAAACGCTTTTAACTGTCAAAAAATTCTTTGCCATTTTATAAGCATTCCTAAACAAACTAATGTCTCTTGTAAAAATAATTAAGTAAACACATATTTAGAATCACTTTTGAATAATGTCACACACTCAAAAGACATTTCTAATTATATTTTCCGATTGCAAATGAAAGTCATTGTGATTATTTGAATGCACTTTTAGCAGGACATGTATGACATTAGTACATTATCATGATGACATAATGTGCCAATAATACTCAACATGTATTATTTTCTCTCAACATGTTCTTGACACGAAATATTATATATCAATAACACTAGACCTCACCATTAACCGTGTCATACGAGTTCCTCAAATTTCGATTAGCTTTGCCACAGCTCACGACCCACAACCCGCATGGATTAGTCAAACGTCAACCTGAGAGGGCAATTTCGTCTTTAAGACAAGTAGGTAGCCACTAGCCTCTACCCACTTTGCCTATAAAAGGAGCCTTAAGGCATCGGTTTCCACTCGGTTTGGTTGGAGAGATTCTCCTCCCAAGTCGAGAGCTAGTCGATCCCTGGTTTTCGCTGCAATCAGAAAAACAATTAAACCCAAAAAAGTCAGAATTTTTTTTTAAAAAAAATCAGAAAACTATTTGATCGACAAACACCGTGAGCTGAATAAGTACCAGTTACAGTGAGAATTTGACTCGGAAAAAAACCCTAGGGTTTGTCGTCGTCGTCGCCATGGATATCCGGTTTCCCTTCTCGCCAGCGGAGGTGGCGAAGGTGAAATGCGTGCAGTTCGGCATTCTCAGCCCCGACGAAATCGTAACTTTCCACTTCCTCTTTGTTCGAAAGCTGTTTACTGAGTTTGTTCGATTTGGTAGTGATTGGATGATGCTAGGGTTTGATGAGTGCCGTATTTTGGTGAATTGGAGTGTTCTGAAACAGTCTGTTGTGTTTTGTTGCAGAGGCAAATGTCTGTGGTGGAGATTGAGCACAGCGAGACTATGTTGGGAGGCAAACCGAAGACGGCTGGTTTGAGTGATCCTCGGCTCGGTACAATTGACCGGAAGTTGAAATGTGAGACTTGTACAGCCAACATGGCTGAGTGCCCCGGCCATTTTGGGCACCTAGAGCTTGCGAAACCAATGTTTCACATCGGATTCATAAAGACTGTGTTATCTGTAATGCGATGCGTTTGCTTCAATTGCTCGAAAATTCTAGTCGATGAGGTACTTATAGTTATTGCCCTTAAACTTTCCAGTAGAATAGTTTTCTAATCCACACGATCGAGTTTCAGTTACTGCTTTCGTAATGTGGACTAACATTATAGTTGATAAGCTTGTTAGTCTTGTAAGATAGGTTGAAAGGTCATTTGGATGTCCCTAGCCTGTTGTATACCTCATTGTAAACTCGTTGGGTCATGTTTTGGGTAGCTTGAAAGAATACGATGCATAAAATGAGTCTGTTGCCTCACGGAACCCAAAAGCGTCAATTTTGTTTTAAAAAAGGATCTTATACTCAAGTATGCGGACAATTGTTAACCTCGACAAATTTTGTGTGACTTCATTTTGCAGGACGACCACAAGTTTAAGCAAGCTATGAGAATAAAAAATCCGAAAAACAGGCTGAAAAAGATTTTGGATGCCTGCAAAAACAAATCCAAATGTGAAGGTGGTGATGAAATTGATGTCCAAGGCCAAGATACTGAAGAGCCTGTAAAGAAAAGTCGGGGTGGCTGCGGTGCTCAGCAGCCCAAGCTCTCTATTGAGGGTATGAAAATGAATGCAGAGTACAAAGCCCAAAGGAAGAAAAATGATGACCAGGAACAGCTTCCTGAACCTGTGGAAAGGAAACAGACCCTTACTGCGGAAAGGGTTGGTGTACTTTATTTAGACGGATTTTCCTTCTATCAGACCAACTTCTCGTGGTGCTAAAACATTGTTAAATTTGTTTTAGGTTCTTAGTGTTTTAAAGAGAATAAGTGATGAAGACTCCCAAATATTGGGGTTGAACCCAAAGTATGCTCGGCCTGATTGGATGATTCTACAAGTTCTGCCCATTCCTCCACAACCTGTGAGACCCTCTGTAATGATGGACACCTCATCCAGGAGTGAGGTAAACTTCTTTCATGCTGTGTTTCTTCCTTTCTCTCCAGAGAACAGGTGGCAAGCTGATAATTTTAGTAGCTAAAAGGAAAGTCTAGTATTTATCGTTGTTGGTGATAAGTTGATAACCGGCTTCATGTATTTTCTGAGTTCAGGATGATTTGACTCATCAATTGGCGATGATTATTCGTCATAATGACAATCTGAGGCGGCAGGAACGAAACGGTTCTCCTGCTCATATCATTTCAGAGTTTGCACAACTTCTGCAATTCCACATTGCCACTTATTTTGACAATGAGTTGCCAGGACTACCAAGGGTATGCATACATGGAAACATATTTCTGCATAGTAGCTGTATGCTTTTATGTTGCGTCTTTCTTTGTTTGTGGACATAAATTTATGTTAAGCAGTAGAACTTCATTTCATGCATACTCTGAAATTTTTCCACACTGAACAGGCTACGCAGAGATCAGGGAGGCCTATTAAATCAATTTGTAGTAGACTGAAGGCAAAGGAAGGGCGTATAAGAGGCAACTTAATGGGGAAACGTGTTGACTTTTCAGCACGAACAGTGATTACCCCCGATCCAAACATAAACATTGATCAATTAGGAGTGCCATGGAGCATTGCTTTGAATCTCACATACCCTGAGACTGTGACTCCATATAATATTGAAAGGTAAACTTTATTTATGTATTTATTTGTAATTTTCCGATCTTGTTCTTTTCTACAGTTTTTCATCTTCCTTAGTTTATTCTGTTTCTACTGATGGAATATCATTCAATAACAAACAGGTTGAAGGAGCTTGTTGAGTATGGCCCCCATCCTCCGCCCGGTAAAACTGGTGCGAAGTATATAATAAGAGATGATGGGCAAAGGCTTGATCTTCGTTATTTGAAGAAAAGCAGCGATCATCATTTGGAGCTTGGATATAAGGCATTGCTATTTCATTCTGATAAGTTTTGATTTGGATCTTTTCTGTTTGAGAGTAAATTTTGAACTTCTACTATTGTGGCTTCAGGTGGAACGTCATTTGAATGACGGAGACTTTATCCTCTTCAATCGACAACCTAGTCTCCATAAAATGTCTATCATGGGCCACAGAATCAAGATCATGCCATACTCAACATTTCGATTGAATTTGTCTGTGACATCGCCATATAATGCTGACTTTGACGGGGATGAAATGAACATGCATGTGCCCCAGTCCTTTGAAACCAGGGCTGAAGTATTGGAGCTCATGATGGTGCCAAAATGCATCGTCTCACCTCAGTCAAATCGACCTGTCATGGGAATTGTGCAGGACACACTTTTAGGTTGTCGTAAGATCACCAAGAGGGACACCTTCATAGAGAAGGTAACTGTATCACCCCTATTTTACCTCTTGAATATCATGTTTTGATAATATTCTCTTTTCACGCAAAAGGAGCCTTACCCTCACTAATTCTTTTCAGGATGTTTTCATGAATATCTTGATGTGGTGGGAGGATTTTGATGGAAAAGTTCCTGCTCCTGCAATTTTGAAGCCCCGGCCACTTTGGACTGGAAAACAGGTGTTCAATCTTATAATACCAAAACAAATAAATCTCCAAAGAACTTCTGCATGGCACTCGGAATCAGAGAGTGGGAACATAACTCCAGGGGATACTCTTGTTAGAATAGAAAAGGGTGAATTGCTTTCTGGAACTCTGTGCAAGAAGGCCCTTGGGACTTCTACAGGAAGTCTTATTCATGTTATATGGTATGATTTTCTCTATTCAGTTCACTCTATTAAGTTAAGAAATGCATTTGTGTGTATGATCTTGGTGAACTTCATACTCTGAGTTTATGATGCACCATACAATACGACCTTTGCTTCCATCTGAGTATCAAACATATAATTTGACCAAAAGAGAAGTTGTATCCATTGAAACTTCTTGTTGGGCAGGGAAGAGGTTGGTCCAGATGCAGCCCGCAAGTTTCTGGGCCATACCCAATGGCTTGTGAATTACTGGCTGCTGCAGAATGCTTTTAGCATTGGAATTGGAGATACGATTGCTGATGCAGCCACAATGGAGAAAATCAATGAAACAATTTCCAAGGCGAAAAATGAGGTGAAAGATCTTATAAGTAAAGCCCAATCTAAGCAGCTGGAGGCTGAACCTGGACGAACCATGATGGATTCGTTTGAAAACAAAGTGAACCAGGTGTGCTACATGGCTTTTTGCCTGCAATATTCTTTTTTGCCTGCATAGCCTCTCCATAAATGGGGGTAAGGCTAGCCGACATTCACCTCTCCCAGACCCTGCGTAAAGCGGGAGCCTTGTGCACTGGGTACGACCTTTTTTTTTATTGTTGAG